GGGGGGGGGGGGGGGGGGAATGGCTAGCTCACATACACTGGAGGGACTCCACACACCTCCATCCTCTCTAGACAGCATGGGGATCGCCCAGGCCACTGCGGTCGTCGCCCAAGCCACCTCTGGGTCTGCTGTCTGAGCTGCTGAAGCCGCTCCACAGCTCAGTCAGTGTCCAGTTGCTGATGCTCGGCCCTATATATTATATGCATAATATCTAATCTGGAAAGCAACTGGCATCACAAAGATACAAACTGAGGAGCAATATGCATGTTTGCTTTTGAACACTAATCTTTGAGATGAAATAGAAAAGCAACAATCTTGATTTTAAGCATGAAGTTTATTGGACAGCATTGGGAGGATTACAATAATGGACTATTGAAACCCTTTAAGAAGCAAATATACTATTTGCTTGAGCTTATTCGTGAGAAACAATATCACCAGAAATAAAATAATTTATCATTCTAAATAGAAGATTCTATTAGTAAATTCCCCTCGTTAACTGTCTGCATTACTATTTTTCTATCAGTGTCTACCACATCCAAGAGCTTTCAAATGAATACAGTTTCTCTGAGTTCCATTTGTTCAATCCAAAACTTGTTTTAAGGAAGAAAGTCAAGCCAAAATGACTTTGCTTTTACTGTTCAGTATCTACAGATGAGGTAGACTCATGCTGCTGATTCCACTTCACAAACACAACAAAGTAAATGAGACTAAATACTTGGCATTCTCAGTGAATACCAAACAATTTGTAGTATTCTGCTCTAGGTAAGGAAGTTAACCATTTTTTAAGGCAATTATTTTAGCTCAACTTCCATTCCATTCCATTCCACACCATCTCACCCCACCATCGCCGAGCCGAACCAAGCCAAACCAAACCAAGCTAAGCTAAGCTAGGCCAATTATTTTTGGTGCTGGGTAAGAAAATAAGAACAGCATTTATAAATTGCACCGAAGATACCATCGCACATCTACTCAAATACTTTGTTTCTAACAATGGCTATTCATACATCCTCAGGAAGATTGCACATGAAGAAGTGAATACACGAGTGGGATTTAACTGCCAAGAAGGCTGTTCATAAGAAATTCATATTATGCGTACAGGGATTCAATTTGCTTAATACTCACACAGCTTGTTCATCCAACTCCCCTCCAATGCGCTGGGACATATTCTTTAGTACTCCAATACTGCCAGAGACCAGCTCCAACTGTTCATCCTGCTGATCAATGATTAACTGGAACCCAGAACAGAGAGTTGGATGAGGGGAAAGGAAGAGAGGAAAAATTTATATAGTTCAAATTATGCACTGAAAAGATAATTGGCTTCTGACTGCAAAATGCTAATATCTTGAGCATCCAGAGACTGCCTTGAAGAAAAAAGTTCATCTTGCCATTAAAAATCACTGAAGAAGGAAAACAAAAATTATCCTTAAGTCCCCCTTCAGAAATTCTTTTTTTCTAAAGGATATAGCCTACCTTACATGCTTACCCAGATCTCAGAGGAAAACTAAATTCCTTCAAACTTTCCTTCGTGCATGATTTGCCTAGACTCTCAATAATATTTTATTTTAATTGGCTATGAGTTATTGATGAACTGGAGAATGACATACAAAGTTTCAGGGTAGGGGCTTCCTTGTCCCAAAGCCCAGTTCACTGACATCTTTTACCCTGATGTGCATGCACATTCATTCATGCTTGCCATTGGTATCAAACCTGTGTGTCTCCCTGGATTTCCCTTTTTTTTCATTTGGATACTGTGTCAGGTTGTGTATGTGGGATGAATATACAACTGACCACACCCAGACACACTTTGAGAGAGAAATGCTCTTATCACCTTGGAGGCAACAGAGTGCCTGCTACGATGCTCACTGTCACCTCCTGACTCTCCCAACCTGAAATACAAATATGAATATATACTGGGCTTGCTTGTGAATCTCACCTATTATCTTACAGACCGTGAGATTTCTGGGTGAAAGCCTCATCTACAAACCGCATTCTATAAGTGGCTAGCTGAGTCTTTGTACAGACAGACAGACACAGACTACCTGCTGCTGTGCTTGCTGCTCTTCAATGAAGTGCGAATTTGCAGACTGCAATTCTCGATCCAAGCGGCTGTATTTATCAGCCCCAGAACTCCAGCTGTGAGTTCTACTTTCTCCCAGAAGCACCTGCATAAGAATAGGAAACACATGGCCAGTTAATGCATGTTGTTGAAACTGAACCCTTGCAAGACTTAGGTGTTGTTTGTCCAAAAAAAGCTTGGCTGTCTGTCATCTCTGGTTTTGATTCTAGATGGGCTGGCACTCCCCCAAAGCAGTGGATCTGATACTTGAGGGTTCTCCTGGATTCACAGCTACTGCTAGATTTGCAGGTAGTGACTAAGCTAGGACAGCCTTTGCCCAGCTTTGACTTGTAGCCCAATTTTGAATGGGAGGTCTTGGTGACAGTAACTTATGCTGTCACCCCCTTTAAGCTCGACTACTGCAACATGCTTTAATGGGGATGCTTTTGAACATTCTTCATAAGCTGCAATTGATGCAAAATGTGGTGGCCCACCTACTGACAGGTGAGAATAACACCTACTACAGCTGCACTGGCTTTTGAATGGCTTCTGGGTACAATTCAAAGCGCTGCTTTTAATAACATAAAGCCCAAGGTGACTTGCCTCCCAGGTATCTACAGGAGTCTCTCCTTCAAGGAGAACCATCCACACATCCTAAGAAGGGATTTTTAAGGTTCTCCCCATCTGAGAAGTGGTGGGGGGGCACAGAGGCAATGTTTCTCTGTGCAGCCCCTTCCCTTTGGAATAACATTTCCCTGAAGAGATTTAGTTGGCACCCACCTTGCTTTCTTTTACAAAGGACACTAAGACAGTATTGCTTAACAGAGCTTTTGGCTTATGACTGTCACCATCAGGCATCAGTGGGGAGTGCTGTTTGATTGTTTACTGAAGTTTTTAATCATTATCAATTGTGTGGGGTTTTTTCTTCTTTTTTCGTATGACTGTTGTATCTCTTTCAGTCCCTACCAAGGGCGATAGACTATAAGCATTGTAGGTAAACAAACAAACCCACTCTGTTATTTTAAACTGTTTTGTTAACTACTTTTAATCGTATTTTTTTTAAATTTGGAAACCTCCAGGCTGTGTACTAGATTATGGTGGCATGGAAGAACTGTAAAACAGATCGACAAATACAACACACAAATCTCAAGGCTCAGACTGATCTCACCACATTCAATTATAAGACTCAATAATTTTCTCTTTTGAATGCTGTAGCTTTACCTCTTTCACTGTCAGTTTTCAAGCAGATTATTAAGGAACAATCTCCCTCTTCTTATATAAAAGGAACAGTGGCAACAGAAAAAGGTGTACTAGTTTGAAACTAAGTAGTTAAAGAGATCCTGAAGTATAGTGGTGGCAAATGACTAAGAAGAAAGCCCTGCTTATTTTAATTTACATTTGGATCTTAACTTTGCTGTTTCAGAGCTATGACAGACCCAGAACAATGTGAACCTGAAAGATTTGGTTATGTTTTTCAGAAGAGCTTGTACCCGCACAATTTAACACATACAGGCAATACTTGCTTAAGAATAAGGTTCTGTTTATACAACCTTAAAAGGCACACAAATAGGAGTTCTCTGTTCATTTGAAATCCAATCAGCCACCGTCCTGAGTTCTCAGTAAGTGCAAGAGAGGTTCAGGGAACTTACCAGCTTCTCTTCTTCACAGCAAGACAAAGGTGCTTTTACCCCACACTAGCCCATCTTCCACCAAAGCTATGTCTAGATTTGGAAATTCATGGTTTCTGTCTTCAGCAGCTCCAGCATCCACTTCCTGATGAATTACTAATATGAGCATAACAAGAATTTCCCCCTTCTATTAATCCTGGGGGAAAGCATGAACCAAGTCCCATTGGCCCTCTGAACTAAGGGAACTTCCCTTTTTAGATGAGCAGCTAATGCAACAACTAGACATCTACTACAAACACTTCGGTCACAACTAATAAATTCTGCATCCAAGAAGCAAGGTAATCCAATATCAGTACTGACCTGCCTGTTTTTCTTTTCAGCCAGTGCTTGGACAGAAGTATTTGACATCTGATCCTTCATATCCTATTGTTTTTTTAAAAAAAATATAAGTTAGCATAATTGACTGATATGGTAGTTCATTTACCATAAAATACTTCATGTGACAAATGTAACCCAACCCCATTGTCTTTTTCTTGCTTTGTTTTCTTTGGGAACGTTTCAGTAACAAAACGCCTTGTAAGAATTAATTCAGGGCCCATAAGCAGATATTCATCTGCATATTTATTTCAGGGGTCAGACTAAATATAATCCCCTGGAAAAGGAAATGGTAATGCAACTCCAGTATTTTGCCAAGAAAACCAAATGGACATTCACAACCAGGACAATGTCAACAAAATATTGGAAGATGAGCTCTCCAGCTAGGAAGTTATTCAACAGTGCTGAGGAACAGCAGAGGCCATGTACTGTACAAGTAGCACTAATGTTTATGATGTGGCGGGATTAAAGCCCAAAGGATGTCCAGCTGCTGATGCAGCCAGAGGAAAAAGAAAAATTTGATGCTGCAAAGGTATGTATATCACTGGTTCATGGAATATTGCCAAGTTTATAATCAAAGTAAACTTGATATTGTCAGAGCAAAGTCAGGATTGAACACTGACAGTGTAAGAATTGGCAACGTGAAATGGACTGCACATCAGAGCGTCAGATCCCTGGTGGACAAGAAAATTGTAGAACAGAGGGAGTAGCCAATTAGCCATCATTATCAGCAAAAGGATATGAAACATAGTATCCAAACACAACCCCCCAAATGACAGAATAATCTCAATTTGAATCCAAGGCAAGCTAATCGATATTATAATTCCAAGTTTATGTTCCAGTCACAGATGCAAAGGAAATGGAAGTTGAACAGTTCTATGATGACTTGCAACATCTTGTTGAAACACCACCAAAAAGAGATATCATAATAGTTATAGGAGACTGAAATGCTGAAGTTGGAAATGAAATAACATATGCAATAATGGGAGAATTTGGCCTCAGTGTACAAAACAAAGCAGGACACAGACTAATAGAAAATACAGTATTCATAGCTAATACTTCTTCCAAAATTACACAGAGATGTCACTGGATGGACAAAATTAAATTGACTATATACTCTGCAAGCAAAGATGGAGCAGTTCTATTCATAACGTATAAAACAAGACCTGGTGCTAATACGGAATGTTCAAATCAGGAACTCCTTCTTGCCAAATTACAATTTAAACTAAACTAAACCAAACCGAACCAGATACAATCTCAGCAATATTCCATTATAATTATGAAAATATAGACTTAATAGATTAGAATTGATACACAATTCTAAGAACTCTGAAGAATTTTTGTGACATCATTATAGATGAAACAACAGCAACAAAATCCTAAAATGCAAAAGCAAAAGACAAAATGGCTTCTGTTGCCATGTTGAGAATAGTTTAAAAAGGCACAAAACAAAGGGGCAACAGAGACAGAAGAAAGTTTGCCCAATTAAACTCTGAATTCCAGAGAACAGCAAGAAGAAAAAGCAATGCTAAGAAGTTGAGGATAAAAACTGAATGGAGAGGACAAGAAATTTATTTAAGAAAATTACAGAAAGCAAGGGACATGTTTATGGAAAAATGTACATGATAACAAGACAACAATCTACTGGAAAAAGACTATACAGAGAAGAGGTGACAAAAATATATAGAAAACTCTACAAAAAGCATCTGAAAAACTGATATGTCTAAAGGTGTGATGGACTGGAATGGAGGAAGGGAAGACTCAGTCTGAGAAGATTTCTGTAAACAGGCGCTGGCTAATAAACCTTGCTGATTGAACCTACATGGTCTCCAGGAGTTCTTTGGGCTAGGCCTGACATGTCCAAAGAACTCCTGGAGATCATGTAGGTTCAATCAGCAAGGTTTATTAGCCAGCGCCTGTTTACAGAAATTTCAGACTGACCACTAGTTCCCAGGCACAGCTATTCACTATCTTCTGGAATGTTTAGGGATGCGCCAGCTTTCTCCGCTTATCTCCAGAGCATTGCTCTGGAGACGAGAGCACCGTTTTCACCCCCCTTCCTCCATTCCAGTCCATCACAAAAGGTTTGATCATGGAACTAGAGCCAGACATTCTGGACAGTGAAGTTAAATGAACCCTGGAAAGAATTTCTAACAATAAAGCTGTAGGAGTTAATGAAATACAGGCAGAATGTTCAACATCTTACAACATGATACAGATAAAATATTATATGCAGTTAGTAAGCAGTTAGGAAGATACAGTAGTGGCCAAAAAACTGGAAAATATATATGTATATTCTAGTACCAAAAATATAGTACTATGGAATGTTCAAACTACCAAATAATTTCAGTTATTCCATATACTAGTACAACAATGCTTAAGATTTTGCAATCCAGATTTCAACAGTACAATGAACGAAAACTGCCACATGTAGAAGCTAAATTTATAAGGGGCAAGGGCATCCAAGATCATATAAAGAGTAAATGAAAAGAGAGTTCCAAAAAGTTGTCCATTTTTTTTTTACTGATATTGATCATACAAAGGCTTTTGACTATGTTGAATAGCTCTTTAAAAAAGGGCTGTACTGGACCACCACACCTGTCTACTGAGGAATTCTATGGTAACCAGAAAGCAGTAGTTAGAACGCAATATGAAGCATATTGGGAAGGGAGTGCACCAAGGCTATATACTGTCCCCTTATTTATTTAACTTACATGCGGAATATTACATGAACAATTCTGGATTGAAAGAAATAGAAATTGGAAATAAAATTGTTGGTAGAATCATCAGGAACCTCAGGTACGCTGATGGTATATTTTGATTACCAGAAGCAAGGGAATTATGGAATCTCTTGTTGAAGGTGAAAGAACAGTGCAAAAGGTAGCTTCCTAACACACACACACACACACACACACACACACACACACACACAGCATTATGTCAAGAAATAATGTAATTCAATGCAAATAGGTGGAGAATTAATAGCAGATTTTATCTTCCTAAGCTCAAATATTTACTAGGATGGTGACTGTAGTCACAAACTAGAGAAATGTTTGCTACTTGGAAAAAAGTCTATGACAGATCTAAATATTAAGGTGTGAGACATAACACTGATTATAAAGGTATCTTGTTTTCCCAGTTGTAAGATATAGGCGTGAAAGCTAGACCATTGGAAAGATTAAATGAAGAAAAATGGATATCACTGAATTGTGGCACTAAAGAAAATTGTTGACAGTATACTGGATTGCAAAAAGAACAAATTATTCAATACTAAATGAAATAAAACCAGACTGCTCATTGGAAGCACTAATAATAAACCTAAATTTTAAATATTTTGCATATATTGTAAGAAGTTATTGTTGTAGAGTAGTAGAGATGACTTTGGAGAAAATATGCAGTGACTGTTAGTAAAACACATGCTTAGCCAGGAAAGCAAGAGAGTATGGGAAAGGAACTAAAGATTGCCCATCCTTGACTCTCTTTGATATAAGAGGGAGGGAGGGAGGGAGGGGGAAACACCCTCAGGCTTTCAAGATTCTGTTATTATAGCCTATATCAATAAAGTAAAGTTCTAATATTTCTTGTGGTATCTGTATCCTTACATGGCCTATCTCGAAGGGCTGACAACTGAAGACCTTGATGCTTGGAAAAATCATAGCCAGTAAAAAAAAAAGCTGACAGAAGGCAAGCTGGCCAGATACTATCACTGATAGCTTTTGCTTACAAGAACTCAAAGAAGAGAAACAAACTAATGCCACAGTCTGGAGACCTGAATGTGCTCCAAAATCACTGATAAGACAGTCTTGGAGCAACAATGTTCATCAGGTCATAAAGAGTTAGAAGTGACTAACAAATGAGCAAAACAACACAAATATGGGAACCCAGACATAAAATATATGTATGAGACCAAGAGAAAGGAGCCATGTCACTGATCAATACTCAAAGTAATGCAAAGATTCCATTACATATTACAAAGACTAGCAAAAATGTAGGTTCAACATATCCACACAACTATTTAGACACAATAGCTGTAATAAAAAATGAACTTTTATTAGTCAACATCAATATTTGTTATTGTGTATTTGAAAGATCGATAATGTTCTAATCTCAAAAATGCCTTACAATTGAATTAACTTATTTTAATCTAAAATTCAATGTTTCCTGAACATAATCTAATTGCTAGAGCAGTTTTTTCTAAACTGTTGTGTGCTACCCTATTCAAGCAAGGTAATAAGTAGAATCATCACATGTGCTTTCGATCTTTCGCAAATCTTCTTAGAGGAGTTCCCAGATTCTTTTGGGCTTGATTAGTGCTGGCAGTGATAACACTATCATTTATAACACTAATTAGCCAGAAATAAGTATTAATCTACCTCCCAACCTGCTAGAGTAAGGAATATCAGGTGCATTGTTTAGCAGGTGGGAAGGGAATCTGCCACTGCTAAATGTTACTCTAATTCAATTATAATTTTAAAGATGCAAAAGAAATCCCTGGGCTGTAACCTAACAAGCCTGATTGATATGATGCCATTACAGGCAGATCATTCCTCAAAGGACAGCAATGATGAAACCAAAGCTATTATTCACAATTAATTTATTATACAATAAGGCTTTGTATTCAATGGGTATGTTCCAGGATACGTTGACTGCAGCCTTATTAGCTGTTTGTATTGTGAAAGTAAAAACATAGGCAATGTTTTCCAATGATTTCACAGTTAACTACATGCTCCCTTCTTTATTAGCCAAATGCTGCTTTTTAAAAAAACTTAAGGCAGGCATTTTGAGAACTAATGCCACAGTCTAGAGACCTGAATGCGCTCCAAAATATCCTTGTCTGGTACAAATACCAGCACATTGCTTCTGGTACTTTCATGTGTTCTGCCCTATAATATTGAGGGAAGTGATGGGTTGCCATTGTAGAAAATGTCAAAAATCCTCTTCAGCATATGAAAAAAGCAGAAACACTTTATTTGAAATGTATCTTTTGAGTATGTTTTTCTATTTTTGCTAGTTCAATGAGTTTCAACAGAAAAGCCTCTCGGTGCTAAATCCTATCCTTTCCCCATCTCCACGGCCAAATTCATGTTTTATTAAAACAGAGATAAATATTGTAAGCTATTTTTTATGACTTGCTCTTGAAAATATTGCATTGCACAACCACAATTCTGTTTTTGTTCAAGTACAGCAGTTCTGAGAGAT